TATTCAGAGGTGAAACGGCCTGAACGAAAGGAGGACACCGACCGATATTCTATCATTCGGTGCCCCAGCCACATTGGCCCAGGGTTCCAATATGCATCGGAAACCTGTCTTCGTTGTCTGCATTACCATATGACACTGTTTTGGCCGCTTGCCAACACATCACGCAAGCAGTTTTGTTGATGCAATTATGGAAATGATTTCTTCTGAACGGAGGACCGCCGTACGAGTTAAGCTCGTGTCAGCGCTTAGACTGCACTATCCGGCATCCACATGACGTTTATCTTCTTTTTTTTCGTCTCAGCCGCTTACCGATCCCGGTCATCACGCGTTTAGGTAGCGGTTTCCTGAAGCGTGGATGCTCGTGATTGAAGAGGGTTTAGCTCATTCGGCTACAGAAAGTTACCGAATGTGATTAAAACGCGCAACGAGAAGCCATTCGGCCGACTGCATCGATTTATTCAGTCGTGGTGGGATCTATTGAAGCGTTCATCAATGATCTGCAGATGTCAGTGACAATCAGTGACAGGGTTTCGTATCTCCACATTCCCAATAATTGCAACGATCGCAAGCATTCAACCGGTTGGCCTGCGGCTGGCACACCTGAGTAAACCATTGTGCAACAAAAAAAACAAACCAAAACATCTGCAGACCTGGGTCTCTTAATCATCAATCTTCAGATCGGCCTCCTGCTCTCCACGCCTCCTGGAAATGGGCTTTGCAGCTCAGTCCCCTCCCCCGCCAAACCGCATCAGCCCGTGGAGGCACGTGGACAGCGGCGCCGCTCGCGCGCCACGGTTGCCTCCACGCTGACCGCCTTCAAATCAGACCATTAGGGGGAGGGGGGGGGGGGAGGATGCGGGCGGCCCTGGATAACCCGTGAGTGTGTAATCACGGCGCACAATGTAGCGGCCGCGCCCAGACCGGCCCCCGGCGAGGCGTGACGGGGGCGCCGGCGGCGCCGACCGGGCACGGCAACTGTGACCGGGTCATTACAACTGGACCAGGACCAGGAGCAGAACCAGGACCAGGACCAGGACCAGGACCAGGACCAGGACGAGGACGAGGACGAGGATCGGAACCGGGACCGGGACCGGGACCTGAGACTGGTCCGGGACCGGGACCGGGACCAAGACCGGGACCGGGACCAGGACGAAGATCTGGATCGGGACCGGGACCAGGATCAGGACCAGGACGAGGATCTGGACCTGGACCAGGACGAGGACCGGGACTGGGACTGGACCCGGACCTGGACCTGGACCTGGACCTGGACCTGGACCTGGACCTGGACCTGGACCGGGACCGGGACCGGAACCGGGACCTGGACCTGGACCTGGACCAGGACAGGACTTGGACCGGGACTGGGACTGGGACCGGGACCGAACAGCCGCAGCTGGCAGGGACGCCGAGCGATCCCGGACGCACACGGTGGTCATGGGGTGAATGAGAGGGCACGGGAGGTTGACACATTCTCACCTCAGCAAAGGCTATGTTTATCAATGCATGCAGGACCGTCGTTTGGTTCTGCTCGCCTTTCTAAAACTCAGCCCAATTTGCCATATTTGTGTGCACATCGCAGAATGGAAAGTGTCCTGCCAGCCACGAGCTGGTGATGCTGGCGGGCATGGCTGTCGTACGAGGCTAGCTGGCCTTCCCCACCGACATGTGGGAGGGGGGGGGGGGGGCGGACGGCGCTGTCGCGGCCGACCAACGGGATCGACTCGGCTGTCCGCAGCTGGCACCGCGGCTCTCCGCAGCACAGCCCTCGCTCTGACCTGCACTAGCTGGCCGTCGCTGTCCACCTTTCACCGCCGGAGTGTACCCCGTCGCCCTGACTCGGATGGTGATAGCGATTAGGGGGGGGGGGGGCGAGCCGGCGCAGCCCGCAGAATGCCCGGGCACGGCTCGGTGTGCGGCTGCCTGGAAAACCCATTACCGCCGGCACCTGGCGCCCAGAGACCTGCACCCCCTCCCCTCCCCCTCCCGAGTGGCTACACGCGCTCCGGGCGTGGTCTGGACGCCTGGCCACGGCGCTTGACCCGGCGAGAGACCTGCCGTCGCTGGCGGAGGTCCCACGGTGCTGGCCGGCTCTGGCGGTCGGGGCGTGTTTGCGGCGGGTGTCCAGAGGCCCGGCGGCGTGTGTGCAGGATCGGGGTCGATTGCGGCGTGGGGCGGATTGCGGGGCGTGCGGTGGGTTTCACAACGCGTGTCGGTTTGGCGACATGAGCCAGATTTCGTGGCGTCTTGAGACCGTGGCGGGCCTCGAAGTGGACCCCCTCGCCCCCGCGCCCGTGACGCGTGCCTCCACCGCAGCGGATCGCCTACTTCCGCCGGCGATTTTCCTGGTTGGTGGTCTCGGGCCGGTCCGCTGAGTGGTCCGCAGCAGTCAGGTGTCCACATCAGCAGCGCGGGCGCCTGCAGTCGCCTGCGGTACGGACAAATTCAGGCATCGCTATCGCGCTGGCTCCGTGGCATTCCGCAACCAGCAGAGAGCCGCTGACGGCCCTCCGCTCGCTCGTGCACCGCGCGCCTTCGGTGGTCCTCACACGGGAGGCCCTCCGCCTGGTCCCGGCGCGGCGGTCCTCGACGGGGGTCCTCCGCGGCCAGCAGTTCCTCTGAAGCCCGCCGGCGCCGCTCCAGCGGCCGGGGTCGTCGCCGCCGTCAGCGGGCGGCCAGCGTCTGCCGCCGGCGCGGCGCCGCCCTGCCTGGCCGGGCGGCCGCCGGCGCCGTTCCGCCGCCCTCCGTCAGCGGCACGCGCCGCCACCTGCCCGCTCAGGTGTTTGTCACGGCGCGGTTGCACTCCGCCGCTGCCGCCACCGCCGCCGCTGCTGGCGGCAGGTGGGCCTGGCACGCGCCGGATGCGTCTCCGCGGTTGACCGGTCGCCCCGGGGGTCACGCGGCCGGCGGAGCGGGCCGCGCCGCTCCGCATCCGTCCCCTCCCCCCCCCCCCCGGCGGCAGGTGAGGCGTCCAGCCGGCCACGCTTGGCCGCTCGAGAGAGGACGGCAGAGCGGTGGTCACGCGCCGCAGGCGATTTTAGGCCGATGAAGCTGCTGAGGTCGGAGACCGGAAGCCGGGTGTTGGAGCTCTTACCTCGGCGGCCGAGATCTTTCGCCGCAAGGGCCCGCGGAAGCAGGAGGGGAACCCACCGGTCGCTTCCGTCGCTGCCAGCCTTTGCCGTGGTCTTGAGCGTGCACGGGGGTATCTGCCCGGCTACAGCAGGTGTTCCGAGAGGCTACGCGCTCGTGCCGGCGCGCTGCGGCCCGTTAGTGCGCAGGCGCGGCCGGCCGCCGGTGCTGATGGCGCCGTGCTCGGGCGCGGAGGGAGACCGCGTCCGGCCGTCAGGCTGGTGTGGGTCAGAGCGCCTCCGGTCTGCGACCCGACGCCGGAGGAGACGCCGGCCCGGGGCCAGCGCTTGAACCGGGCCCGCGCCGCTGCTTCCCCGCCGGCGGACGGCGCGACGCGTGTGGCCGCCGCGCATCGGCCGCACTACCCGGCGTGCCTCTCGCAGGGGGTCGGGGGTCGGGTGGGGCTGCCCGCGGCGCACACCGACCCAGCCGCCACCGCGCTGATCAACGGCCGACAAAAAGCCCTCTCCTCCGGCCAGCGCCAGCACCAGGGCCAGCGCCGGCCTGACGGATCCTCCGGGCCGGGCAGCGGGATGCAGACGGCCGCCGGGGCCGGGCAGGACCACGCCCTCGTGTCGCCGTCACAATTAGCCGGCTGCTGGGCGGCGCTGCCGCGATGGGCGCCGGCGTTTTGCGTTTTTGCGCGGCGGTCGCGGCGCATCCGTCGAACGGGTCATCCTTATTCAACGGCGGCTCGGGCCGCGCCGGCAAAAAGCGAGGAATGTTCCGCGGCGCGCGGCGCGCCGTATCGCGCTGACCCGGCGCGCCCGCTGCCCCCCCCCCCCCCGTCACGTGACCCGACCCGGCGACCGGCCGGCAGGCAGCGCGGGACACCGCGTCGCCGCCGGCGGCGCTCAAGTTACCTGGCCTCTGGGCGGGGACTCCCGGGTTCAGTTCTCCATTGGGAAAGTACTAATCTGAGGGTGCTGCCTGACAGGTGCTGTGTCACCCAAAAGCAACTGCACTCGAAGGCGCGGGGTCGGACACGTTTTCCATTGATATCACAGGTTGTAGCTTGTGGGCGGCGGGGCGCCATATGACCAGGGTAGTCGGCGCGCACTAAAGCCCAAATCATCACCATCACTTGTGGGCGGCGTTTGGCGATAGGTAGCAGGGCGCCGTTTTCCTTCATCCGGTCCGACTTCAACCGGCCGGTGGCCGGGCTGTTGTGCGAGACGTCGGCTCCCTGTCCAGCCCAGCACTCCCTGACTCCATAACGCACCCGCCCTTCTGCGCTGAGCCTGGCTGGGTCGGCTTTGTCTGTTGTCTGACTGTCCCGTGTCGCCGTCATCGTGTCTGAACTGATGACTCCATAGCGCATATGCCCTTCTGCGCTGAGCCTGTCTGGGTCGGCTTTGTCTGTTATCTGACTGTCTGGTGTCACCGTCGTCGTGTCTGAACTGATGACTCCACAATGCACGTGCCTCTCTGCAATGAGCCTGTCTCGGTCAGCTTTGTCTGCTTTCTGACTGTCTGGCGTCGCCGTCGTCGTGTCTGCGTCTGTGTCTGACGAGCTGCGGCATGGGCTCTGTGTCGAGCGGTGTTCCTGCTCAGCTGAGTCGGCCCTGAACCGTGCCGTCGACAGGGACCTGCTCGGATCTAATCACGGGGTCGTTCCAGCTGACCTGCGCTGACCGGGCGTCACGGTCTCGTCGGATGACATGACCTTTCGTCGGATGACATGACCTTTCGTCGGATGACATGACCTCTCGTCGGATGACATGACATCTCGTCGGATGACAAGGCCCGTCCGCACCCAGCAGCACGGCAGGCGAGCTGCAACCTGGCTTGATTGGATGACCCGATCCGCTGCCGTCGTCAGCTGACCTGACGGCCGATGGACTGCGGTCTAAGCCGTGGCCTCGCCCTCGTTGCAGCTGGGCTTCTTCATCTACTACACGGTGACGGGCCTGGAGGTGGGCGGCCATGAGACGTCCTCGTCGGTGACGCCGGTGCCGATCGACTCCGTGCTGCTGTACCGGCCCGACCGGCGCTGGCAAGCCTGGCGCTTCGTCACCTACATGGTGCTGCACGCCAGGTGAGGCCCGCCTCTCGGCCGCCGCGCCGCCTCTCCGCCCCCGCGCCGCTCCTCCGCCGCCGCGCCGCCGCGACGCCGCCTTTCCGCCGCCGCGCCGCCTCTCCGCCGCCGCGCCGCCGCGACAGGCGCCTCTTCCGCTGCTCCACACCGACTCGGTGTGGGGTAATAACAACACGGTGACCGATGATGCAACTCGGAGTTTTTAACTCTGCCGTAGTATCGTGTCGAGCCGTGCTGGTGGTGTCTCGTTTGCCCTGCCTGCGGTGAGTCGTGACTCTGAGGCCTGATCACCAGCCGCTCGCCACAATGGAAGAGAACACACGTCACAAGGAGCTCAGGCATGCGAGAGTGTCCCTCGCCAGTTTACAGACCAGTTTTGCACTCCAGTGGTTTGGCTTCGACGACCGAGCCCAATTAGTCCGCGATTAGGTTGTTGTCAATAGTTTTGTAAGCTGCTCTTTTTAGGCGGCGCCATCCGCGAGGTTCCGACCTAAGCCAATCCGATCGGCAATTTTGGCGTGCTGCCACTCTTGCAGCATCATCTCGGAGTGACCGCCCGGGTTGGCTGTGGTCGATGCATTCGCGGACTCGGGGACACCCTGCGAGGTCACATGACCTGCGACGTCGCTCCCGGCTCCGCCGCTGACCAATCACGTCCTCCCCTCGCACACTGCGTCCAATCGGAGGCGACCCGCGCCAGGACTCACGCCGCCGACGTGCTGGCTCGAACAGGACGACGGGCTCCTGAGCGGCCGGCGCGAGACGGCGCCGCGGCCGCGCCGTCTGCCGGTGGCCGCGGGCGGCGGCTCGTTTGTCACTGCGCCACTATGGACGAACGTGCGCCGTCCGCCGCTGGTCGGATTAGATCAGCGCCGACTGCCGGCGACAGCTTAGTGAAATAACCGGGCACGGCGCCGCCCGGCGCCGTAAGGGTCACTCTTGCGGCACGACCACGCGGACGTTCAACCATATCGGCCGGAGCCCGACCGAATTTGAGGGCTCTTTCAAAGTTTGACATTCCCAATAAATGCCAACGGGGATCGGCCGGCGCCTAGAAAAATGTCCGCCGCTAATCCGCCGCTCAGGTGGGAAACCACGAAAATATCATCCGGGCGCCAGGTAGACAGCGGGAGGTGCGCCGCCCGCCCATTTTCCACGGTCAGGTCGGGTGCTGTGAGACACGCACTGTTGCGCACGGTCCTCGCTGCGAGCGGTGACGCCGGGCGCCAACGGCGGATCGGTCGGCGCCGCTTGCTGGGCGCCGTCCGTGGCTGGAGCCCGCCTGCGAGGGCTCGGTTCGTCGGCCGTGATGGCGCTTCTCGTCTCGCGCACTTCCGGCCGGCTGCCGGTGGAAGGACATATCTTGAATGTTCGACAGCTGCCTCGCGATGCCCGGCTGTCGCAATGCGAGGAACCCCATTTCAGACATTTTCTGGGGCTTCCTGCTGCTGGACGTGGACCTAGTTATACGCGGTCTTTCGAATTCCAGAAGAAATCCACGATCTTTTGTCTGTTTAGGCCAGTGACTATCGGGAGGAATCGCAATGGATTGAGTTAATAGTTGTTCTGCTTCGATGGAGATCTTACGTGGGTCGACTGGAATGTTTCATTAAGAGGTTCTTTCCAGGCCATAGATGATTGATGTACGTACGGAAACAAAAGCCGATCCTGCTTGTTGGTTGCAAGATATTATTATTTTAATTTTCGCCTGCTTTTTAATGTCCCATTGTCTGTGGCTGATGTGCCTGTCAACATCGTTTCTCATATTCGGAATTAACCTGATTTATCTTTGATTGATTTCATTTGCATATATGACAGTAGTAATAGCCATGACAGCCGTGCAATAGCGAGGCATTATATATGTGAACATGGCTCCTCGCTTATGTACTGAACAAATTACGTGATTTAAGTTAACTTTGGTTGATATACCAATTGATATGTGATTTACCTTGGCGTGTCTTGGAAGCAGCTCTGCTTCCTGGGGCACATGAAAATTGCAATGCTTCGGTGTGACAGTGTGGGTGGTCTCCCTTCTGTTTGCTACCTGTCCTTTAGCTTGCCGGTATAGTTTGTGGAATTACTGACGCTCTTGGAATACCGCCGTCTGCCCTTTCGGCAGCTGGTGACACGTGATCTTCAGTCTGCTCACACGGTTTTTGCTGCTGCCGAGCTCTAACGATGCCGCGCTCTCCGCAGCTGGTGGCACCTGATCTTCAACCTGCTCGTGCAGCTGGTGGTGGGCCTGCCGCTGGAGATGGTGCACGGCTCCGCCCGCGTTTTCACCGTCTACATGGCCGGCGTCCTGGCGGGCAGTCTTGGAACTTCAGTCTGCGACACCAGCCGCCAGGTGTACCTGGTGGGAGCCTCCGGCGGCGTGTACGCTCTGCTGGCGGCCCATATCGCGAACGTCCTGCTGGTGAGTTTGGCGTGCTGACGTCGAGCCACTCGATGCTTACACTGGGCGGGTTGCTTCAATGATCACGTGAAGAACAACATTGAAAACTTGATTGAAGCATCAGTCCTGGTCTCAAAATGTTTGGACGATCTTTTGCCTCTGACGTCGAGAATGGAGTGCTTGCCCGTGTGATCTAGTATGTTGTCTCATCATTGCATCTGTTGCTGGTTGCAGACTGCAAAATGGCTGCTCATTGCAACGATATTTGTGAGAGGTTGTTTGGCGAATGAATCCTTTCATTATATTGTGTTTGCTCCTCTTGTTGCGCATGCCGATCACGAGTAGCCAATAAAATCCTCGTTTGCTTTCAGAATTACCACAACATGGAGTTCGGCGTCTTCCGTCTGCTCATAGTGTTTCTCATCGCAAGCTTCGACGTCGGCTTCGCCATCTACCACCGGTACGCGCCAGTGCCATCTGTTGAGCCGGCCGTAAGTTATGTTGCGCACCTGGCCGGTGCAGCGGCGGGCCTGTCGCTGGGGCTCGTGGTGCTCAAGAACTTCCAGCAGAAGCTGCACGAACAGCTGGTGTGGTGGCTGGCGCTGGGCGCGTACATCGCCTGCACGCTCTTCGCCATCATCTTCAACATCCTCCACACGCCGGCGAACGAGAGGTTCGTGTGAGTGGTGGCGCCGCCCGAGGCCGCCGCCGGCGTCCGGGGCGTTGGCCCTGAGCGTCGGCCGGCCGGCGTCCGTCCCATGCTGTGATATAGTGCAGACGCACCAGGAGTGAGGCTGCACGGCGTGCGGGGCCAGAAGCCTGTCCAGACTGCGGCCCGGCGGCGATCTGAGCCTGCCGCGCCCGCCGTGCAGCGCGGAAGTGAGCAACGGCAATATCCGAAATGCATCCACGTACCAAAGAAGGTAGCATTTGTGTTCCCTGTGTTTGCCTGGCTGAGTACCGCGTCGTAGTCGTTCTGTTGAGTCATGGTTTGTTGAGAGCCGCCAGAGACGGAAATCGGTGATGTGGGACGATTTGACCGGCATGTGCTTCTCGTGGTGGTGTAGCGTTAGCGCTGTCCTGATGCGTTTCTGGAGAATGCGCCGTCGCAGTCTCCCTACGGCTGTCATTGTCGATATCATTTCGCCCTGGAATCACAGAGCAGTACCCTCGGCCGGCCCGGCGGCGGACCAGCCAGCCGTCGCAGTGGCGGCTCGAGGGATCCGTCTGCTAACATAGATGAGCCTTCTTTGATCCGAGTCAGAAGTCCTTCACCCATCCGTTGCCCAGCTAACCTGTCTTACCTCCCAAAGCGCGAGAGCCGTCCCACTCCCGACCGAGCCATTCCGTGGCCTCGGGCCGCGCCGCCCGGCCCGGCCGCGTCCCGCCGTCCAGTGATGGTCGCGTGCCTCCGCCGAACCCGCGGTCGGCCGTCCGAACGCGCATGCGCGTGTGCGACTCGGAACGTCTGTGTGCTCTGCGCAGCTGTGTGAACGACGTGCTGCGAGCTGCGGGCGCCGCCCGCCGGCCAGGCGGCCTTTCTAGTCATAGCGCGTCGTTGAGCTGGGTGGTATGTGTGCTGTTTGTCCGGTGTCTGTCGACACTAACCATCGTGACTTTATACTCGTGAAGTGTCGGGGCGCGTGCCCCCGCGTTGTCTGTCAGCTCGAACTGCCCGATCAGCTATCACGCGCTGGGATAGCTCGCTCAGCCACGTGCACATAATTTCTCCGGATTAGCCCGTACATATCAGCGCGCCTGGCCGGGCCGGGCTGGTCCCGTGCTCGGACCGACCAACATTCTACAGCTCTATTCCGCCGTTGTCGCCGTGGTGACGTCATTGGGACCGGTGACGTCATCGGGTTGGCCTGTGATGGGACACTGCCGGCGCAAGATGTGTCGCGCCCGGTGGTGGATGTCGCATGCCTGGCTGTCCGGATTAAACGCGCATTTCCTGTGCTGGGATTCTGTTGTTCCATGCGTGTAACTCTGATATTGAAGAATATAGCTGAATGCACGACACCTGGCGTTACATATATGCCCTCGTAGCCCGACCGGTTTACACACGTTAACACAAGCCCGCGGCGTCACGTTCAGTTATGCATCGGGTTTCTTCTTCACCGTTCCTACCTTCGCCGTTTTGTGGAGCGGCCGCGCCATACGAAAACAGAGCCTCCAGTTGCGCCGCCAAAGGCACCGCAATCACGCCAGGCGCCAGATGGCCGTCGGCAAGTGTGAAGAGCTGATGGCTTCATCCCGTCTGCAGATCCGCAGACAGATAGACGAAAACATTGCCTTACACCAGACTTTTCTTAAACTGGTCAACCTCGCTGATCACACTCGACAACGTGTAATCCCGTCTCGCCACGGCACACGGTTTGTGCGGCGTGCGATTCTGTTCCCTTATCAGTCCTCGTCGCGATGTTAGCACGGGTCAAACGTGTCCGAGCCCGGGATTACCTCATGTTCAACCACACGATGCATCAGATCAGCGAGCCCTGCATGATGTTCCGGGAGGATTGTCCCCAGATCGTCGTCATCCATTCAAGTTACGAAGAGCCGCGCTGATACCGCGGGTCCTTAAAGCACAGCGGTGGGACACGCCACACGTGCATCCGAACACCCACGGGGTCGGACCCCCTGACCCCCTGGTGCCCCCTGCTAGCCGCACGAGAAACACGTCACAATCACGAATAAATCACATTGCAGGCAGAAATACCCTTCGGTTTAATGTCACCTCCAGTTGTGTACAATACCATCAATGCCGCGCATTCACCCAATTGCTAGCAGCAGCAGCGACAGCATTTTACCTTCACGTCATATGCACCGCCCGTTCGACGAACTTTGAGGACTGGAGGGCCATCGCGGGCACCTGAGACTGCGTTCACGACCCGCCGCGGCGGTCATCCCCGCACACGCCTGTCACAGCGATGCGGCAGCACGGTCGTCTGCACTTCGCCAGAGCACCAGCACCGCTCCCCTCCTGTCACACGCAGCACCAGCCGCGCCCCAGCCGCAGCCAGCGTTCCCCGCTCTACTCCAGCACCAGCAGCACCGAGCTCTCCGACGGCGCCTGCCCGAGCGGCGGCGGCGGGGGCGGCGGCGGCGGCGGCGGCCGCTCGGCATGCACCTTCATGTGCGTCTTCAGGTGGTGCGACTGCCTGAAGCCGCGCCTGCACACCGCGCACACGTACGGCTTCTCGCCGCTGTGGATCTTGGCGTGGTGGAACAGCTGCGTGCGCGTCGAGAACCTCTTGCCGCACGTCTCGCAGGCGTACGGCCGCTCGCCCGTGTGCGTGCGCGCGTGAATCTGCAGCGTCACTTTGAGCGCGAAGCCCTTGCCGCAGATGTCGCAGAGGAAGCGGTGGGGGTCCGTGTGGGTTCGCGCGTGCTTCTGCAGGGCCTTGTCGTCGATGAAGCCCTGGCCGCACGTGTCGCACTTGGCCGGCCGCGTGGCGTCGTGCAGCAGCCGGTGGCGGCTCAGCCAAACCTTGGTCTTGATGCGCTTGCCGCAGATGTCGCAGATGTACATCTGGCCGTGCGCGGCGGCGCGGCAGACGTGCGCCTCCAGCTCCGCCGGGTCGGCGAAGCCGCGCCGGCAGGCGGCGCAGCGGTGCGGCCGCGGTGGCCGGCCGGCCCGACTCGTCTGCTCACGTTCGTGGCGACGCACGTGATACTCGAGGATGCGCCGCTGCGTGAACTGCCAGCGACACTTGGGGCACGGGAACTGGCGCCGCTGCTCGTGCGCCTCCACGCTGTGGCGCACGAGCGCGTCCAGGCGCGTGTAGGCGCGCTCGCACACCTCGCACTCCAGCCGCGGCCGCTCCGAGTGCGAACTTTCGTGGCGAGTCAGGTTACGCTGCGAAGCGAAGCGGCTGCCGCACTGCGAGCACTCGAACGGGCCGGCGCCGCTCGGCCGGCGGCGCGAGGCGCGCGTCTCGGCCGCCTCGCTGTCGGAGGACGCGGCCGCCTCCGGACTGGCCTCCGGGCTGGACGGCTCGGCCGCCGGCGAGTCGGGCGAGAGCGGGTCGCGCTCCGGCGGCGGCGGCGGCGGCGGCGGCTCGGGCGGCGGCGGACTCGCGCACCTGTGCCGGTCCAGCTGACACTGCTGCGCGAACGCGGTGCCGCACCGTGCGCACGGGTAGAAGCCGGTGCGCGGGTGCGGTGCGAAGTGCTCGCGCAGCGCGACGGCGCTGAACTGACCGCCGCACGCGCCGCAGCGGGTCGGCCCGCGACCCCGACGGCGGAGCTCGCGGCGGCCCACCGCTGCTGTCGCCGCCGCCGGCGGCCGCGCGCGCCTGGCAGCGGCGGCGGCGGCCACGCGGTGGTGGCGTTCGTGGCGCGCGCGGTCAAGCGGCGCGGCCAGCTGGCGGCCGCAGCGCGAGCAGGGCGCTGCCGTCGGCGCCGCGTGCTGCCGCTGGTGCGCCGCCAGCGCCAGCCGGTCGGCGAAGCGAGCCTCGCATCCGCCGCAGCCGAACGGCGGCGCCGGGGACATGGTCACCTCGAGCAGGGCAGAGAGCGTGTCGGCGACCGGCCGCCGCCGCCGCTGAGGATCATGCGCCGGTGCTGACGCTGGAGGCGCTGGCGGCGGCGCTGGCAGCGCTGGCGGTGCTGGCGGAGCTGGCGGGGCTGGCGGGGCTGGCAGCGGCTGCGGCGGTGCTGCCGGCGATGGCTCATTCCCGCCCGGCGCTGCCGCTGCCGCTGCCGCCGCCGCTGCCGCTGCCGCCGCCGCTGCCGCTGCCGCCGCCGCTGCCACTGTCGCTGCCGCTTCCGCTGCCGTCTCCACCTCGGTCACAGCGTAGCACGTGAACCGCTGCGTCGGAGCACCTCCCTCGCCGCCGTTGACCGACGCCTCCTCCAGCTTCAAGATCCCAAAGGGCAGCTGCGCGACCCCCGACCCTGCACCGGCCTCCATGCGGCTGGGAGAGTCGTGGCCTTCTGCACGCCGCTGCACGGTCCACAGCTCATCTGCGTCAGGGCTGGGCGCGCCGTTCCAGTAGGTGGCGGATCGTGCCGTCGCCTCGGACGCCGCCGCCGGCCGCGCGTCACTCCCACGCCGGCACTCCTGGTGTGACGTCACCACACTGTCTCTGACAAACGGCGGCGCCTGTCGGAGGACGGTCCGCGCCTCCTCTTCGCACGTCCTCCGTTCCAGGTCGTCCTCCACGCCGGTCCTCACCTGCGGGTCGTCTGACGTGCCGTCGTGCGTCTGCAGCGGGTCCCCGGGGGACGCGAGGACCGCGGCGGCGTCCGACAGCGACATGGCGCCGTCAGATGGCGACCGTCAGCGGCATGACGGCCGCCTGTCAGCCGGCCGGCCGTCGGCGGAGACCCGGGGACATTCGACAGATCAGCTGCACGCCGACTTGTCAGCCAGATGCCGTCTGCCGGGCAGGCTGTGAATAGCAAGGCAGGGTCAATGTTAAAGCCTTTCTGAACGCGTTTGTCATGAAATGTGCACCTCACACTGGGAAAAAGACGTCAAAATGAGCAATAGCATCACCTACCAAGGAAATGTGCATAGAAATGCGAGCGCAACGGTAACAAGTCATGGATGATTTTGAGCTGAAATTCCGTTCCTAAAGTTAGTATTCAAATTATTATTTAGTAAGGTCATACACTTATTTATTGTGCATTATACACACACACATATATATATATATATATATATATATATATATATATATATATATATATATATATATATATATATACGCATATATATATATACATATATACATTTATTGCACTATTTCATTTTTAATAATACCAATTTATCAATGACATGATTAAACCTCGTACCTTATTATTTGCACGGACAAGGCTGGAAACTTTGCCCTTCCGCCGCATAACGTCACTATCTGTTGCTGACAGCCGGACTCGCACCAACGACGTCGTACAGTTTAAAAACATGCGTCGGCAGGCTGCACACATCTGCGCGTCACGAACAGGAGGACTGGCTCGGGCCTATAAGCCGACGTTTAACCGCCGCTGCACACTCATAACGGGCCGAGCAGTAAGCAAACCATAGCGCTGCATACGCCCACTGCCGAGCCGTTTACGTCCACTCGTCCGACGGCGTATCTAACGGAGTCTCTCGATAATCGGACACGCTCGTGACGTCATCCGGCATTTCGAGAGTAGCGGTTCTGACCGTAGGATGGGCCCATTCTGAGAATGGGCCTTTCGGGCGTAGGTCTTCTGAGCGCGGTATTCCAACCGAAGATCCTCTGAGCGTAGCCATTCTGAGCAGAGGTCCTCTGAACCTCACTCGCACAAAGCATCGCACTGCTTAAGGGGAGAGGCCATGGCCCTAGGAACTCTTACTTGGATAAAATATAAGACTTAATAATTAATAAGACTTTTGAATAGCCGCCCTGGCCCGCCCATCATGTTTCAAGAAGCGTTTTTAGAAGAAAATCATTAAAGTCATTTTTGTTGGCCGCGGCTTTGTATTCCTTGACACACGTTTGTCCTTTCCTTTTCATCACAACGTCTTTCGAAACCTCGTTTTCAGTGTTATAACCACTTACAAATAATCCGATCACTAAACTTGCCACCACGGAGAGCCTGTTTTGCTCCACATCAGTAGGTGGCTTTGTAAATGCACGACAAACATGTTTAACATGTTTTGGTAAGATTCGACGGACGATGCGCCACACAAGCATGGCAGTCTCAGATGGCAAACAACCAAGCTTTCACATGGTCGATCATATGGTCGATGACGGACATAAAATACCCGTGTCCAAACGTACCCGCCTGGGCTAGCCTGGCACCAGGGAGCCGTAACAAGCCACTGGTATTTTCCTGGGGGAAACACCTCCTGCGAATGCCTTGTTTGAGCTTACGGAGAGCTGTAACTTCTTTGATTTTTTACAACAGCCGTGTAAAAATGTTGGTCGGAGCATCGGCCTACCTTAGATGCGCCTTTCCTGGTTTGGCCCCATGCATATTCCTTTTGACTTTCACGCCTATTTCCTAAATACTGGGGAGCTCTACCAACCACTTATTTAACAATCCACCCGAATGCATAAACCAAGTCACATTTACACTTTTAGGGTTACGTAAGCCGTAGATTGAGACAATGAGTGACCTGATGCAGCCAACTAAGACAACGGGATTACCTCATTCCGGCCTGGGTCGTTTTGTTTGCTGGATTCTGTCAAAGACGGGTCACACGACATTGCAAGATATGGGGAATCAGATGTCGCGGTGGTTGGCTCCAGCTCAGCGGGACCAGGAGACATGAGAGGATCAGATGGCATGGCAGGACCAGGAGATTGGATGCTGATGCTGGGAGAGGCTCCACCTAAAGGTGCAATGTTATCAGGCACATATCTGCAACACATCAGTGCAATACAATGTGACCACCTGTGCAACAAAATTTATCCACCCGTGTCTTAGATAGTATAGCCCCAGGAGCATGATGGTCTACACAGATGGTGGATCAGGTCATATCAGGTCATCAGGTCAGATGTTGTCATACCAGGTTAGGTCATCAGATCAGCTTGTCATACCAGATGATGTCAACAGGCCATCCGATCTGACTGCCATGCCAGATTAGGCCTGATCAGGTAATCATGCCAGATCAGGTAATCATGCCAGATCAGGTCACCATGCCAGATCAGGTCTCAAGGTCAGATCAGGTCATAAGGTCAGATCAAGTCACCAGGTCAGATCAGGTCACCCAGTCAGATAAAGTTATCAGGTATCAGGCTAGAATGGAGCAGGGAAAACACAGCTGATACATCATGGCTGCACTTTAGCACTGCTATTTGATGGTAAACAGCACAGGTTTACCAAATAAATTGTAAAATGGTTTGGGTAATTGGTTTGGATAAATAAGTATCTGTAATTTTTAGATCAATGGTAAAATCATGGTAAAATCACCGATAAAATTGCCACTGATAAAAATAAAATCACTGATAAAATCACTAACTTTGTCATCACTGGAAAACTTATAAATCATACATAACTTATCTTTAAAAGGGCCATAATTTTAAAACCACCTTGCTCTTGATACCAACCTCATTAATGGGAAGTGCCACATGAAGTGGTAGTGGTGCTTTTTACAGCACATGTTATGTCCATGGCACAACAGAAAACAAACCACATGCCAGAATCACAGATGCTTAGATATAATGTTATACTCCCATTTGCAGCACTTGGCAGTCACTACAGCTTGCTCCAACATAGTGGTGAAGTTGTCAATTAGTGGCAATGCACCGTCCTCCTGTTTGGGGGCAAAACGTATCTCACATGTTTGGGTGAAGACCTCCCAGCCCGCGCTCTGCGTAGCCCATCGTCGGGGTCGGACTCCAAGCTGTGCATCCATACCCAGCATTAACCAAACCGGGAAGTGGTCGCTTCCAGCCGCGTCCCATCCACAGACCAAGAGGTAGCTTGCTGTGCTGGATCAGGGCTTTAATTACCCACAGGATGCAGGGCTCCAGGGTCCAGGGTCCAGAGTCCAGGGCTCGAAGTTGGATTGGACGGACATGTCAGCAGCATGCCACAAGGTGCTGGGACCAACGCTATTCATAATCTTCGTGAACAACCTACCAGATCAAGTGTGAAGC